GCCTGGATTAGGGCCACCTTAGTCTATAGACTGGACATCGTTATTTCTCAATACTCTGGAGAGGTCCCTGACAGCAGATTTTCCCAATGCAATGCATCTTTTGATTTCTTGACTGTTGATGCCAAGAGTATTGACTGTGGAGTTGAGCAAGCTGTAATTGTTAACAACCTCAATCTCTTCTCCATCCATCACGGTGCTGCCAATTCACACAGTGGTGAGAGACTTTGTCTGCTTGAAGTCGAGCTTCAATCCATAATGAACACTACAGTCCTTGACCTTCTGCAGCAAATATTCAGGTCCTCCTCAATCTCAACAAGCAAGGTTGTGTCATCTACATAATGTAGGTTGACGAATCTTCCTCCAATCCTGATGTCACTTTCCTCCTCATAAAGCTCAGTCTCCCAAATGATCTGTTCTGCATATTCTTTCCTGTAAGCTTTTCATTAAAAGAAACTTTTTTTGCATGAAAGCTTATGAATCACAGGGGTTTTTCATTCAATCATTCATATCCATTTTGTTTTAAAACATTATAATTATAATTTCATTCAATCATTCCTATACATTTTTTTCCATAACATTAATTACAATTAATCCTTCTAGGAAGTGGACTGGCAGTTATTACAGCAACGGGTTCATGTATGTCAGGGCTGATGAGAATGGCACAGGATAGGACAGAATTCAGGTCCCTTGTTCACAGGGTCGCTATGAGTTGTGCTTGACTCTATGGCATCTAACAACAATGTAATTAATTTATGATGAATCCCTGGCTGTATATTGTCTTTTCCTTCATCCAAATTATGCATTTATTGATTTTGGCTCTGTTAGATAAAAAAAAGAGCATGAGGGTAAGGGAGAGAAAGTAAGAAAGAAACTGGTCCCAAGAAATAAACAGGCCTTTATTGCGCTGTCTGAGAGGGACGCCAAGTGACAAGGCCTCAACAGCACACTGACAGGATTGAAATGGCACCCCGGAAGTCGGGGGTGGGGGTGGGGGAGTGGTTCCTTCTTATAGGGGTCCTGAGGAGGACTAAGATGGTATTTCTCGGAATTTGGGTTGTTAATTAAGTTAGCTTTGGGCTATTTTGATCAGGCGCAGGCCCCTATCAGGATCCATTGTCTGGTCTGGTCTTTGGTATGTCCAGCTTAGATGTTATCAGTTTTCTCAGGAAGTGATCAAGCTTGGAGGTGGTGGTGCCCCCCACCCAACTGCCGTATTCCGCTAGGCTCTCCTCTCCCACCCTTTCCAACCCTGGATGTAGAATCCAAACCTTGGCTATAGAATCCAAGGATGATTTTACATGTATAAACCTTCCCTTAGCTTTTTATAGTAGTGGTCTTATACTATCATAGGAAGATCTGGTGGCCTAGTGGTAAGAAACTGCACTGCAATCCTGAAAGTACATGGTTCAAATTCACCAACTACCTGCCAGAGAAGGATGGGCAGTCTCCTCTCAGATGATTCACTGCCTCTAAAAACCTGCCAGAGGATCAGCTCTGGATTCTTTTCACCTCAACAGGACACAACAATATATACTATAATAGTGCTTTTTAAAATAATAGTCCTCTTTTTATTGGGGAAAAAAAAGACTTCACTTAGCATAAGATCCTCTAGATGCAGCCAGGTAATGTAACATGTCATGAATTATTTATCATTGTACAGTGTTGCATAGTACTCCATTGCATGAATGTATCACCGTTTTGTTCATTCTTTGTCTGTTGATAGACACAAGAGTTCCATGTCTTGGGTTGTTCCCATATCTTCCTTTTTGCAAATAATGCTGCTAGGAACATGGGTGTGCATGTTATCTGTCTGTGTTAGAGCTCTTATTTTTTCAGGATCTGTGCCCCGCAGTGGGATTGCAAGATCAGATAATCTTTCTGTTCCCAGCTTTGTGAGGAAGCACCAAACTGCTTTCCATAGTGGTTGTCGCATTGTACACTCCCACCTGGAGAGTACAGAGAGTTCCAACCTCCCAGCCCCTCACCAGCATTTGTCCTTTGCTGTCTTGTTGGACTTTGCTATGGTTGCCGGGGTGAGATGACCGATGTCAGCACTTTGAACTGGCAAAGCTAGAGGCCACACTTCCTGCCCATGACCGACCTTGACTTCAGGTTGCCTATTTCCCTGCTGCTGCACTCAGGCTGTGAAGGGAAAATATGACAGTTGCCCCACTACCCCCGAGCCTGATCACTTCCTGGGAAACTTGATAACATCTAAGCTGGTCGTATCAAAGACCAGACCAGACAATAGATCCTGAGAAGAGTCTGAGCTTGGAAAAAAGGAGCTAAAACCTTACTTAACTAATATGTCAAATTCTGAAAAATACCATCTTAAGCCTCCCCGGGGACCCCTATAAAAAGGAAACCTCCCAAACTGCCCAGGTGCCATTGCGACCTCATCTGCATGCCATGCTGCTGGGTCACTTGGTGTCCCTCTCAGCCCGCACAATAAAGGTCTGTTCGTTTTTTGGGACCAATTTCTTTCTTTATTTCTCTCCTTTGCGCCCTCGCACTCTTTTTTTTTATCTAACAGGCTGCTCTCCCTGGACATAACTGTGTGCTTTAGAATTGCCTCTTCTTTCTCTTCCCATCAAACTTGCTGGCTAGGAAGCCTCTCAAGGCCGCTTAATGTCCGCTAACAATTTACACTAATACTGCGGTAGCAAATGGTGGGGCCGCTTAGCGGAAGGATCTGTTTTAAGGCTTGCATTGCTGACTGATGGTAGAAATGCAGGCTCTGTTTGGGCTGGAAGAGAGTGTTGGAGGAAAGGACTTCTGTTCCTCTCCCACCAAGCTTGCTAGCTGTCCCCCCTTCAAGTTTACCCCTGGCAGGGATGATTAAATTAGTTCGTATATATTTCTCCAATGGACTTGTACTTGTACTTAGTATTTGTGTTGCCTTCTCCCTGGAAATGAACAGTGGCTGAGTAAAGCGACCTTGCATCCACTTCTGGCATGCATCTCTTCAACCACAAATCAAGGAGCATCAGTGAGCTAATGCACATCTCTTGTGGTTTTAAATACAAATGGGCTTTGTGCTCTGGGATTTGAGTACAAGGTTCTCAGCTGCACAAATCCTCTAGGCCTTCAAAGATGGACCCCCATGTCTGCTCCCTTTCAATTTGTTGGTTCTGAAGAGAAAGCTCTGCATTTGGCGTGAGCTGGGATGTGGTGTGGACGTCCTTATGTGCAGAACATAGGGAAGCCAACTCATAACCAGTAGAGAAGACTTCTGTGTATCTTCACCATATGGACTAAAACATCCTGGCTGTTTGCTTGGCTCCACAGTAGCCAGGAAATTAGAAGACATATTGTCATGGGAAAGTCTGCTGTTAGGCACCTCTCCAAAGTACTAAAAGAGCAATGGTGTCACTTTGGGGACTAAGGTGCGCCTGATACAGGCCATGGTCTTTGCTATCACTTGTTATGCATCAGAGAGTTGGTCAATGGCTAAGAAGGATGGAAGGAGAATTTGGACATGTTGTAAGGAGGGAGAGGTCCTTGGAGAGGGACATCATGCTTGGGAGGGTGGAGGGACAGTGCAGGAGGGGAAGGCTCTCTATGAGGTGGATTGATTCAGTGACTGGGGTAATCAGGATGGGTGTGTCGGAGACAGTGTGATTGGCAAAGGACAGAGCAGAGTTTAGGGCTGTTGTACATATGGACATGCTGCTATTGAACTCAGTGTTTAGAAGAAACTTGATTGCACCTAACAACAACAAAGTCCTCCACCACAAAGTCCTGGAATGACACCAATATTTAAGGAGCTTGGCTGCTAACTGAAAGTTGAAGGTTTGAGTGGTGCCTTGAAACAAAGGCCCGACATACACAGGGTCACCACACAGGATCAGCACACATGGGGTCACTGTGCATGAGAGTCGACCCTAAAGCAACTGGTTTTGGATATTCCTATTCTGTTTAGAGCAACAGTATCAGTCTAGAGACTAAGATGCACCTGATCCAGCCCGTGGTCTTCACAATTACTTGCTATGCATCAGAGAGTTAGATAGTGACTCAGGATGACAGAAGAATTGATGTCTTGTGGTATGGTGTTGAAGAAGAGTGTTGAACATACATGTTATGGGCTGCCGAGAGAACCTATCTGTCTGTCTTGGAGAGGGTGAAACCAGTCTGCTCCTTGGAGGCAAGGATTTTGAAGCTCCATCTCAAATACATGGGCCATGAGTTCAGGAGAGACTGGTCGTTGGAGAAGGACATCATACTTGGAAGGATGTGGGGACAGTGCAGGAGAGGAAAACATTAGATGAGATGGATTGACAAGTAACTGGGATAATGGGAGCTGGTGTGTCAGAGACAGTGAGATTGGCTCAGGATAGGGCAGGGTTCAGAACTATTGTGCATAGGGTCGCCACAAGTCACAGATGTCTGGATAGCACAACAACAAGAAACACTGGGTAGAATCAATACAGATGTGGAAAAGCAGAGTGATGCCTGAAGATGACATCACTATGGACAAGAAATGTTGAAAGTAAAGGTAGTTATGTTAAAACAAAGACATTGGAAGGTCATTTAAGGAGCCAGAAATTCTTCACTAGAGAAGTGAAATCTCATCACTATAAGGGGTTTAAATTTATTTTTTAAAATTATTTTCTGTTGGTTTGAATGCAAAGTTTGCATACAGGGCATTTCATTCATGTACATTGTGTTTCACACATCCCTTCATTCCCATACACTGTGTGTTATAAAATTAATCACCACCGATATATGTCCACCATCACCCTGTCTTCTCAGGTCAGACAGGATCCTTTTGTTTTGAAAAAAAAAAATCTATCCCATCACATTCTGTGCTAATTTATCATTTATATTCTTGGTCCCCTTTTTTGAGACACATTTTAAATGATTTTTACAAATGCATTAAGAAAGGTGGTCAAAGTTACTCCAAGCCTGAGAAGTGGGGTGGTGTCTTCCTGTGCCTTTTGTGCAAGTCCAAGTGGTAAGGGATAAAAGTCCACAGTGACCCGTCTCTCGTGACGTTCCAGGTGGGCGAAGCTGTCTTGGAAAACGCCCGGCTCATGCTGCAGACAGACAACATCCAGGCAGCAGCGGATGACTTTAAAGAAAGGTAATGCTCTACCAGGTGGTGCGAGTGAGTAAAACACATCTAAGCCGCTGATGGAAAGGTTTGAGTTAAGCCTCTGAAAAAGAGCCATAGTTACTTAGCTTTTTAAAAATAGCCAATGAAGGGAGCTCTGGTGGTCTAGTGCCGACGAGCTGTACTGCAATCCCAGAAGTACTCTGTTCGAATCCACCAGATGGTCTGCTGGAGAAGGAGGGACAGTCTCCTCCCGTAGCAGTCAGATCTGATTTGATGGTACACTCACAAAAAATAATAAAATAAATTTTTTTAAAAAATAGCCAATGAAAACCTATAGAACTTGGTTCTACTCTGGTATAAATACATACAGGGTCACCTGTGAGCCAGAACTGACTCCATGAGCTCGCAGACTTTGAAAGCTCTCTTTGCAATCTCACTGTGTATTTGGGCTTGAGCGTCACTTCTTGGATGTCTAATAAGAGGGTGGTGTGTACACTGCTGACGCAGATCAGGTTTCCAACTAAAAGAACGAACATTTTTATTTTAATTGTTGCACATCTCTTTTGTTTTTTTATTTTTATGGCCACCTTCTGTATCACATGAAGCTGAGTTCACACTTAGAGTTGTACCCTTTATTAACAGCAATTTCCGCAGGAAACTGGACTGCAATCCCAGAAGTGCACGGTTCAAATCCACCAGATGCTCTGCTGAAGAAGGAGGAACAGTCGCCTCCTGTACCAGTCAGATCCAATTTGACGGTACACGCATAAAAAAACAAACAAACAAAAAAAAACCCAGCAATTTCCATAACATAATGAGCTTTAAAAATGTCTTTAAGATTTCTTCATTAAGTATAAATTTCAGGGAAAAGGTTAAGTCACTGATGACCCCAGAGTCTGGCATTTAGAGCAAAATAACGAGATTTTAGAGCCTGTTGACTCGTGGAGAGAACCTTTTCTGGACGAATGTGGTGACTCTGAGATTACCCTTGGGGAAGAGCGTCGTGGAAGTGAAGCAAATGGTTAGGTGATTGAGATTGTTATTCAAACCAACGTTTCCCTAAATTGGTCAGGAGAAAAAGAAATTACATTAACTAGAGACCTCTGCAAGCATGGAAACAGGAGCGGCATCCACTTCCGAAACAGCTTGCCTCCGGAAACTCTATGTACGAACAGTGCTCAGGCCTTTCGTTCATAGGGTCGCTATGAGTTGTCTATGACTCGATGGCATCTAATAACAACAACAACGGAGACCTCTGAGGAAGCTGTTGCTGTCAGGTGCCATGGAGTCGACAATGACTCTTAGCAACCTATGAAAATCCACTGGAGGGTCAGTTATGAGTCAGTTCTGGTTTGATGGCACATAACAATAGTGAGCGAAAAGAGGATGAGTCCAAGATGAAGGTTCATGTTGACCAAGCCAGAATCTTCCTTTAAAAAAAAAAAAAAATTCTACTAGTTTATTTACAAAATTTTAATATAAATTTGAACACATTCTTTCAATTTCTCTCCCCCCCTCCATCAAATTGTACAACCCCATGATTAATCCCCCCTCCCCCCTGCACTTCCACATCCCTCTGCTTCCAGCCTCTCCCACCCCTCCTGGATCCTTATACTCATTCTACAATAATGATCTTATACAATATTTATCCTTGTGAGACTGAGTTAGTTCACTCAGCGTAATGTTCTCTAGCTTCCCAGGTTAGGTAATAATTTACAATCTTCTAATTGGGGTTCTGTTCCAAATGCCCCAGCATTTTTTTTTTATTTCAATGAACATGTGCAGAGATTTTGGAATTCCATTCATTCATTCATTGTTGGACTTTTCTCCCAGCCCACCCCACCCCCACCCCCTGTTCGTTCCTCTCCTTATGCCCCAGCATTTTAATAAATCGATTTGTGACAATTCCACTAATGATGCCCTCGATACTGTTAGAACGGTGATATCTTTAAGCGTTCATTGTGCGATTACTCACTGGCAACATTCACAATCTGGAGTGTCCCCACCTTCTGACTTACCCGGTGATTCTGATGAAGTCCCTTTCTGCCTGCAGGTACGAGAATGAACAGCGATTTCGAAAGACGGCCGAAGAGGAAATTAACTCCCTGTATCAAGTCATCGACGAAGCCAATGTGGCCAAAATGGATCTGGAGAGTCAAATTGAAAGCCTGAAGGAAGAACTTGGCTTTCTCTCGAGGAATTATGAAGAGGTAGGTGTGGACTGTAGTAAAGCCACGTTCTATTACCTGCGCTTCAAAGCCAGTGGTCGCTCATCCTAGCCTCTCTATATAGCTTACCCAGAGCTACAAAGAAAATACAGACAGAATATGTTTCCATCTCTGGAGTGGCTTAGGTTGAGGGCAGTAGGGGGCTCAATGGTAGGATTTTCACCATCCATGACCGGGACCTGGCCACTGCACTTCAGGGAAGCCATCAAGCAATCATTTGTCAATGGATACTTGGCTGTTGCCATGATGCTCAACATACTTGAGTGGCAATTCCAGACTAAAAGATGCCATAGTTTAAAGAAAGGCTTGGCCATTCTACTCTGGAAACAGAGTCACAAAACACATAAGGTTCACTTGCAGGTGGAACTTTCTCATGGCCATGTTGACTTGAAGGCCTTCTCTGGGCCTCTGCCTCGCTTGGGCAAGTGTTATGGTTCTTTATTAGAAATACCCAGAGGTACCCCACCCAGCAGGAAGCCCTCTGTTCTCAAGGAGCACAGCTGTCTCTGGTCTGAGTGCCCACAGGACCACCACAGCCATCTGCCAATCCCCTGGTTCTCACCATTCATGTTGCAGTTGCCATTTCTTTTCTTTTTTTAATTAATTTTAATGAAAGTTTACAAAGACTTAGGGTTTCCATTCATCCATCTTTGCACTTTTCTCCCTGCCCACCCACTCCCCCCCCCATTCACTCTTCTCCTTGAAAAGTAAAAGAAAAACTCTTTCATTGTAAT